AGAGATAGACATAGAGATTCGGAGATGGAGACAGGGAGGAGATAACGATAGAGACAGAGATAGAGATGGAGATCAAGGTTGAGATAAAGTTAGAGATAGAGATAGACATAGACATAGAGACAAAGATATGGATGGGGATATGTATATAGATACACATATAGATGCAGGTATAGATACACACATGCATAAGTAGTGATTGCATACACATGTACAGGCAAACACATACGCACATGCACCCATGCATTCGCATGCACACACCAAAACACGCAAGTCTGAATATGCCGTGCACCGCGTGCACTTGTTCAGGCACACATCGTTTGTTCGGCTTGGTGACATGTGCAAGTATGTAAGAGTAGATGTTTATCCTCCGTAGATGAATCACCAGGTATGGTCCGAACCCATGGTCGAAACCTGGGTACCCTGTGCAAGCGGAGGCTTGCAACACGTCAACGAACTTTACATCAGAAGGTACCTTGTGCTTGTACATATATATATATATATGTATATATGAGGATATATGTATGCATATGTGTGTATATATATATGTACACATATGTATGTATGCATGTACGTCATGTATGTGTCGGTACTTGTAAACATATGTAAACTTATGTGAACATATGTAAGTATATGTAAACATATGTACGCACACATACATGCATGCGTGCATGCATACATACAGAAGCATTCATACACCTATATCTAAATAAGCTGACCGTCGCTTATCTTGGTCTGTTTGTGCCCAGACAAGTCCTCGGCCGTTGCCCAGGCACTGGTCACCTGGGAGCAGCAGGAATCTCTGAACAGAAAAACATTGGATGGGAGAGTGCAAAATTAAATGGCTATACAGACAGGTAGACAGGTAGGTACATACATATAGTTAAAGCTGCGAAAGCATGGATAAGTTAAAGCTCAAATACTCTTCAAGATCAGTCTCCCAGCCTCTCCATCATTGAGGAAGTGCTGCAACGACCGCAGAGTTGGAGCCTGTCTTATCTGCGTCTGGGCTTCGCAATTCCATGTTCATCTGCACGGGACAAAGAGCTATGGGCGACCCTGAAGCAAATCTACTTCAGGTTTCAGGTTGGGTCAAAGATGCTGGGTCTCTTCGTCAAGGCTGAAGGCTGCCAAAGGCTCTCTGTCTGAGGTCTCGGGATTCTTCTGCTCCAGGATTTGCCAGGCTCTGATTCCAAAATATGAGGTAATCCAGAAAGAAGGGATCCTCATACAGACCTTAAACAATAGTATCCGTGCCCCTTATCCTGAGAACCCAGAAAATCAATTGAAGATTCTGATCTTCTGATTTTGCGGTTGAGCAGCACCGCAGATGCGACAGAAGAACTGTCCCAGACCGCGGAGCATGGCTCCATGGGAGGCTTATGCACATTAACGGTAATCTGTAAGCTACTGTTGTTCTACTCCTGACATGAGAAGGTACATGTTTTTGATGACTTGCTGTGGATTTAGATGAGGGGTTTATGGGGATTATAGGGTTTAGAGGGACTCCAAAAACCCCATAGAGTTTAGCATTTAGATGGACCTAGCGTCTCGGATTTGGGTTCAGGGAATCGGATCCCGGGTCTAGCTGGGGCCTTGGACGCAGGGACTCGTGGCTTCGGGTGATTTTGGGTGGTGGGTTTGGGATTTAGCCCTCTGGCTCCGGTATCTACCAGGTCTACCATTAGGCGTAAGTACCGTGTGTAGGATGCATATGATGCGAATCCTTCTTGGAAGGGTCTAGATACGGGTGATTCATTTGAAAACCAATCAATCAAGTAGGCGCCACCTGTATGGGATGGAAGCCGGCTGGAGCGACTGATTAAGAGCCACGATGCCGAGCAATATGCCATGTCGTCACGTTCGATCAGACTTCGTCCCCAGGTCCTACATTCTGTTCTGGAAGCTAGTATGACAGATAGAGTCTTCCAGCTCATAACAGCTGCGACTCCTGCTCCTCGAGATGAAGAACCTTTCTTCAATGGCGTGACTCAGAGTTTTATGATATATGTTGAAGGCGTGGCTCGGCTGTTGGCGAATTGCCACTTGAAGGAATCAGCTTCAGGGCAAGCTCGTGGGAGACCCGCCTTCATAGGATCTTTCTGCTGGCAGCTCTGGAGGATGAGAGTTTGGAGGATCGTATTTCGTGGCAAGCTAGTGGGGGTAGTGGGGAATCCCAAATCACAGGACCTTCTCCTGCGGCAAGCCATTGGGGAATCGCAGTTTGCAAGGTCCTGTTTGGCGGCAAGATAGTGGGTTTAGGACAGCAGACAAGAAGACGAGTAGAAAGACAACGCCCTCAACCCTAAACCCCAAACCGGAAGCAGAAAGCCAAAAGCAAGAAAGAAGAAACCAGGAGACCAAGGCAGGGGAAGACTTGAGCTGCAGGTGCTCAAAAGAAAACAAATTCTCCTGTGTACATGTATGGGTGTTGTCTGCATGTATGGGTATAGTGTATACGCACCTAATAACTTAACTCTCAATATTCAACTATTAGAGTGTTTTGCTTTCACTGCCAGTATTTTGATTTTGCCATCCCGAACTCCACACAGACTGGGGGCCCGTGCGGCCAATGGTTGTCGCCATCTGGGGCCGGGGTGGCGGCGAGGTGACAGCAAACTTGGAGTCCTGGCAGATTGGCGGCCAGTGCGGTAGGAGATCTACGACAAGAAGACAAGCTGGAAACATCAGCTCCATCAGAAGCCTCTCCGAGCGGGAGTGATATAGGGGCCTTACGAATTAGAATAGGGCTTTCCCAAATACTGTAGGTAATTATTTAGGCCCCTTTACTACATTTATTACAGTAGCCTCCCTGTACATCTTGGTGCTCGTGGCTCAATTCTTCGGCTTCAGGGCCCAAGTTTTGGATTTAATGCTCGGGGCTGCGGGGTAGGTTTCGGGCTAGGGCTTTTGGAACCTTTGTGGGTCGAGGCTAGTGGCTGGTGGTGCTTGCATCGGGAGCCCCAGCCGAAGGAACCAGCAGATCTTGGTCAACCAGAAAGGAATAATAATAATACCAATAATAATAATAAGAATAATAGAATAATAAAACCAGAAAGGAGGCTCTTGAAGTCATTTCGCTTGCCGAATTCTAGCTTCGCAAATTGGCATGTGCCACTCTTGCTATGAGACCGTTTCCGACTCTGACTCGTTTATTCTTCCACCTGTCTTGTTGCGATTGTTCCGCCTGACCCAAGACAAGGGGGCTGTTCTAATTTGGGCTCCATCCTGGGACTTACCCAGACCCCCGAATTACCCCGCAACAATTCTTAGGTCCCCAAGTACCTGAATCCGACGGCCCTGAAGCGACCTTATGGCCGTTATAGCCTTTGTCTGAGGCTGCGGTAGCTTGCAGGAACGGGATGGATCTTGGGTTCGCGGGTATGGGATGTAATGTTGGCTTTCGGCCCACGCTTTGTTGCCTTCACGGTTGCTGTATTGGGGCTTAGACCCTATAATATAATAATAATAATATTACAATAATAATAATATAATAATAATAATGATAATATAATAATAATACTATTAATAATCATAATAATAATGATAATAATAATATTATAGTAATAATATAGTACCTGTTCAGGCAGCGAGCCTCCTCCATGTCCCGGTACTTGCTGCGGAAAAGCCATTGGCAACACCTTTTCTCACGTGAATTCACAGGCCACAGTTGCCGAAGTCAGAACAACCTTCAACTTGCAGAACTCGCAAGTGATCTCAGGAACCCTCCATGCCGAGTTCAGCACTTCATTCGAAGGTGGGGAGCTGTTGCCGACGCCTAAGACGAGGGTAGCGTCCAGCACGAGATTGTAGCAGCCATGGCGTCAAGCTTGAGGCATCAAGGTTCAACAGCTCGCTCGAGGCATGCACTTCTTCATCGGGCTCCATGTGAACCCCACCTAATTCCACAAGAATGACCCACTCTGAAAAAACTGTCCTGATCCAACAAACCCTTAACCCAAAGCTTGAAATGCTGTTGCCTGCAAGAGCCGAAAGCAAGCGCACAGTCGTACAGTCGAGGGACAACGTCATTTGAGGCCCTGCCATACCGAACCAATACCGCCATGAACGTTCAAGTGCCCCGTTGCCCTTGCAGACGGCACCGATTTTCCTCGGCGTGGGCCCTTCCACTGCCCTGTAAGACACTAGCAACAAGCATCTGTCCTTGCGACTCCATCAGCCGCCTTTTTTCAAGTGCGTGGTTTACGAATGTTGCGGATTTTGACACGTGGCTCTCAGTTTCAGTCTCAGTTCGGACAAGATGCTGAACTCTTTCTCACGTCCCTCGCTCGGACATGAGGACAGCTACAAGACGCTCCGCCTCAGCCTCTGGAATGCGCAAGTCTCAGTGGACCTCACAGGGCTCGGTGCTGCTCGTACCAAGAAGATACAACGAAGGGTCAAAACGCAACAAACGTTCAGGAAGCACATAAAGGATATCAGCAACACTAGCAACAGCAAAAAGGGCATTCGACGCAGCATGTATTGCTTGCTAGCAGCTAGCATAAACTAACAATGGTGACAATGACCAATAGTGAACAACACCGGTCACAACTGTCACCATCATGACCAGATGCATCAGACTCATCCATCAGGGCCTGCTGAGCGGCTCTCCTACAACGACACTCCGATTTCTAACCATCAACAGTCAAGGCCGGTACATCGTGGCAAATATTTCCGACACAGTACGCTAAGTTGTGGTTCCAACAAGCGAATCAAACCGAAATTGCGAAGGGTCCTATGCTCCAATGAAACAGAGCTCCTGAGATCCCCAAAAGATCGTGGCTCCGGACTTCCAGGAACACAGTCCCAGCATTGCCCACCACAGTGGCCCAGCCTAATCTGCTCTGCTCACAGACAAGTACCAGATCTTGCTGCTCTCTCATCCGATAAAGGTCACGCGTTGCAGCATAGCGGCTACCATTTTGCTCTTGCTTGCTCGGCTCTCTTGCACAAGCTCTTCTAGGCCCCTCTGAGCGCACACGAGCCTAACGGGCCCTCACCTTCCCATGCTTCGCATCAGTTTCACCTGCACAGGGTCAGATAAGGGTTTAGTGTTCAAAGTTGAAGGGTTGAGGCATTTCTGTTGAGGCCGCAAGGCCACACACTGCAGAACACTTCACCTTGAAGCTATGCAAGTTCACGAATGCTGTGTGCCCCATGCCTCTTCCGAGCACTCTTGATGATGGTGAGAATCGTAGACCCGCGAGTACAAGACCACTTTGTTGGTGAGCTTATTCACGACCGCATAGTCGCCTCATGTTCCACATGGCTTGCCTACGCGCCTGTCTGTGATGCATCCTTGTCAAAAAATAGGCATCGAATTCGAAGCGCGCATCTTGAGTTCAACCGACGATTCCCACTCCGAAAGCAAAGCAGCGCTTCAACTGCGAGCCTCAACATCAAGCCAAGGGACAGATGAAGCCAGAATGGCCGGGCAGAAGACCTGGGTATTGAGCCCTCGGCAGCCAATTTATCGGAGTCTCCTCGAAAAACTGCGAGACGTGTCCTGCCAGAAGGCCGCAGCTGCTGGCAATCCATGGGCTGAAGCTTCATGCATACTACATAGTTACATAATCATATATGTATACCAACTTGCGACCACAATCTCCGCTCTTTTAAGTCTTATCAACTGGAACGAGCTAGTTGAAGCTGCGAAGCCAAGTGTCCTCCCGGATGGGATACCTTGGGCATTGGTCCATCCCGACTCCAATTGTCGTAGGCCTTTCCAGGGCAAGGATGGCAGAGTATGGTGCAGCTGTCCCTGCGGCAGCATTTCTGCAGCGGTGTCTCTTGATGTATGACTGTCCCATGCCAGCACTAGGATCGGAACAGGCTGTCCCACTCCCCTCGAATCCTCGGCATGCCTTTGGCCTTCGGAGGTTTAGTGCCTAGATGTCGAAAGCGGTGCAACTTCTGCCAAGAAACACGTAAATGAGGTGGTTCCCTGCTAAGCCTACTAGTTGCAGCACCACCGTAAGCGGGCAGGGGTTGCAAAATCCCTCAGCCCGTTTCTGGCCTTTCTGAGCAACCCAGTTCCAATGTTGCCTTGCGCAACGCTCACACGCATCTGAGCCTCGGTGCCAGTCATCTACAGGGCACCCTTCACTTTGCGACCTGCCTGTATTACATTGACGGCGTAGGGTAGAAATTTAAAACCTTGTTGGCCAGGAGGAGGCCTTAATAGGCCTTACACGGGCGCTCGCAGACACTTCTAGGCGACTCCTCCCTCCTAGGCATCGACCCTTCAGGGATGCGGTGTTCGTATTTTTCGTCGCCTACGCTTGGGGCTCCGCACGCTTTCACAGCAGCTCGGTCAGTCATCGGCGACGCAGGGGGCGGGAAAGGGCCGGGACAAGTGAAAAAACCAACAAAAGGATGCTCTTTCCCAATGATGTGTAATCGTAGGGTCAAGAACCAGGATCCCTCATGATCAGGGTGTGAGACTCTGAGAGCAACGTGCAACACTTGGCGCCCAGTACTACTCGCTCTTCCCTGTGCAGATAGGGGCACCTCGTTCACGCCAGGGGTGCGCAGCTTGTCGTACCAGTCTTTAAACTCCTTCGTCAAACGACGGGGGGAGCTGATGGAGTTTGGAGGAAAAGGGTCAGAATCCCAATGTCCTTCAGGGCCAGCTCCATCAGAGGATGCTTCTGCGAGGCAGCTAGAAACCTGAGGCACGGCAGATTTCGCAGAGTGTGTCTTTCCCACATCCTGAACAAAGGCCCCTCTGGCAAAGAGATGCCTCAGGTCGCTTCGGCTCGGCCCCTAATAGCTTTCAGGTTCAGCACCGGGGCTGCAAACCCAAGGCAATGTGGCTCCGGGTGTACAAGCTGATGCACAAGCAGACCGCCAAAGACTCTGTTCTCGGTCCATAGGTCCTTAGCCCCTGCAGCATGCAGATGCGTCCAAGCGGCGCCTGGAAAAAGCTTGCACTCAGAGCTGCAGCCGCCCGGACTGTTGCAAAGGTGGTCTCTGGAGCTATCTGAGCCTGCCAGCATCAGAGACCTTCCTGGCATTCTGCTACCCATAAAATGTTTGTTGGTGTCCTGGTTGATAGTGGCTACGCATGCTGGTCTCGTCATGAGTCCAGAAACGAGTGCAGTCAATGCTCTTACTCATCATGGCTATGATATGATAGTTATTTGCTAAGCAGACGCGCGTATTAATACAGCCACAAGAATCAAGAACGATTAACATATGGAGTCCTACTCTGATCCCTACAACGATTGTCATGTCGTTGGTTCCCGTTGCTCCTAGTCTCACCTATGCTTCAACTATGACCGATCATGCGAAAGGAATTGTGGCCCTCAACCGTGAAGACTCGTGTCCATCTCACAAACTTCCACGCATCCAAAGATCGACTTACGAGCAGCTTGTTCTATGCTCGGCCGGCCTTCAATTCTGGGGTGACCAGAATGTCGGTATCGAAGTAGTAGCCACCAAGTGTGTACATCATCGCAAGGCGGCAGATGTCCGATTTGACCATACCAACCTCCACATTCATGTTTTTGGGATCCATCAATCTGAACCAGACTTACACACACACACACGGCGATTCTTGGGATGAGAGAACTGCCGACAGTGACACTTCCCCCTCACCACGCTCATCAGTATCAAACACCACCAATTGTAACATGATGACCAGCAACACATCGTAATGATTAGCAGCACAGCAGCCTCCGCCATCACCCCTCCCCCCCACCAGCTGCACCATTACCTCCAGCAAGAACGGCAACAGTAGCAACAGCAGTGGCAGCCGCTGCTGCTGCTACAAGAAGAAGCACAAACACCAGCATAATCACAACCAGCAGCAACGACAGCAATTGCAGGAATACCGCCATCCTAACCACCGCCACAACACCTAACTGGCTACACTAGTTCACGAACGCGCCAAAAGAAAACAAACCCACACATAAGCAGCATCAGCATCGACAAAACCGACAGCGTGCACAGTGCACTGATATGCACTCAAACACCAGGGCTGCCAGGTCAGTATGCTTTTCAACACAAATCAATGAGTAAAGATCTGCCATACTTAGATCTGTACCCGCAGCTACCAGTCTATGCTGTGTAGAGGTAGTCATCGATTTAGGTGTCCCACTGCGCTGCTAAGACTCTGCGACAAGATGATCAAAGTAGGCGAGAGGACTATTCCTTACAATCTAGCATCGCGAGAAATGATGCGATGCGCATGGATATCAGTCAAACTGCGTTCCCATCGTGCTTATCTCGCTTGTTGACTTTGTTGGTCCTGTTCTCACAGACGCCAGTACTTTCGCGGTGCTCGTGCGATCTCCGATCCGAAAATTCCGCACCCATGCACCCCAAACCCCAATCCTCAAACACTATGCCCAAGTTCCTATGTAAACCCTACACCACCGTCTTAATCCCGAAGCCCCCAAAGCCCCAAAAATCTCAACAGTCCCCGAATTCGTGCTTCTTCCTTCATGACTCCTTTTTTCCGTCTTGCAATCAAGGATTTAGGTTTTTTTATAGGGGTTTAGGGCTTAAGTTTTATGGTTATAGGGCTTGAAGAGAGACAACCCTAAACCCTAAACCC